CAGGGGTGAGAGGCAGGGGAATGGAGACCCCCACAGCCAGCAGCAGTGGCCCTCATCACAGCCCTCTGGGAGATATGAAAGGAGGTCAGACGGTGGACAGTAGTCTTGCCTTGGTGCTATAGAACACGTTGTTAATATCAAAAAAGCCGATCTCTTCCAGGGGAATGGTGTAAGCTGACACTAGCACTTGTGCTTTTCGTTTGTTTGAGATTGAGTCTTGCTCTTGTTGCGCAGGCTGCAGTGCAATGCATGATCTCGGCTCACTGCAACCTCTGCCTCCTGGGTTCAAGTGATTCTCCTGCCTCAGCCTCTTGAGTAGCTGGGATTACAGGTGCCCGCCACCATGCCTATTTTTTTATTTTTAGTAGAGATGGGATTTCGCCATGTTGACCAGGCTGGTCTCCAACTCCTGACCTCGGCCAAAGTGTTGGGATTACGGCGTGAGCCATTGTGCCCGGCGTGTGATTTAATTTAATTTAATCATTGCACAGCTTCAAAATGACAGCTAAGTAGCTGACATAAAAATGAAAATTCTGTGTACTTTGATGTTAGCAGGCTTCATATACAAACCAGAATGTGATTAAATTTTTTCTTAAACTGAATAATTTTCACATAGGCAGGCCATTGTCAGGCTATTCAGCATCTGGCTTATGTTTGGGCCAGGCTGGGTGCTTCATAAAAGTCTGGAGGGAAATACAGAGGCCAATTCTCCATAAGCATTAGACTCAGAAATACCTTGCTTCCCAGTGAAAAGTTTAAATTGACTTTCACGCCACCTGCATCAAACCGAGGTTGGTCAACACTTACCACCACTGCCACTGGACACTTTGACTTCCAATTTTGCTACCTGCTCTACAAAGATACCCCCTTCCTTCCTTTCCCGCATTCTCCCTACAACCTCGTCTTCTTTTGAGTTCATCCACTCTCTCTCATCATTGTCCATCTCTGCTTCCCAAAACCTTATATAGTACAGAAATTGACCAATCAAGATTACAGTGTCGAAGAGCATCCGTTTACTGAATAAGGCAGCTGGTTCCTGGGGGCAGAAAAGTGATTAGACACAGTTAAAATCATAATCCCTACTCTCCTGGACTCACTGTCCAATGGGAAGACAGACACATAAGCAAATGCAACTTGATAACTACAACAGTCAAGTGAATTACATAATCCCGACTGAAGAAAGAGAGAGCAAATGTTATAATAAGACAGTGTGTCCAGTACTTACTCTCTAACAGATTTCCTGATGAACGTCTAGGCTTGCCAACTTGTTGCATAAGAAAATTGGAACGTGGGGGAGGGGAAGTACGTATGCTTCTTGGTATTTCAATCCATAAATGCATAAATAATGTAACTATTAATGATATGTTGATTCAATAAGTTTGAACCAAAATTGAGAGTCATCTTTAGAAGAAACTGTGTATGTGTCTATGTGTGTACACATGTAGATATACACATATTGCTTTCTGAAATTTTCAATGACTTTATGCTTCTTCTGAAGCAATTCAAGTTTAGAATTTGAGACCCATGGGTCAAAATATCTTCCTGAGTGTACTGAAGAACATTTAGATTAATTTCAGACGTGTATTTTGGTTTACATAGTGTTTTTTATCCTTGCAAATTTATTTACTGTTTTTAAAATAGAGAATAACAGCAGCAACCCTGAATTGAGTGAAAGTCCTGAGAAGGGCATTGTCCAACCAGTGCGTGTGCATGTTTACACTAATCTCCTGTCTGAACCTCGGAAGTGGCTGAATGAGCTAGCAGATGATCTCTTTGGCTGTATTACAAATGATAATTTATTTTTATTTGTTTCATTCATTCATTCATTCATTAACTCATTCATTTTGAGACGGTCTCACTCTTGTCACCCGGGCTGGAGTATGGTGACATAATTATGGCTCCCTGCAGCCTTAAACTCCCAGGCTCAAGCAATCCTCCTGCCTCAGCCTCCTGAGTAACTGGGACTACAGGTGCATACCACCATGGCCAGCTAATTTTTAAAACTTTTTTTGTAGAGACTGGGTCTTATTATGCTTCCCAGGCTGGTCTCAAACTCTTGGACTCAAGCGATCCTCCTTCCTTGGCCTCTCAAACTGCTGGGATTACAGGTTTGAGCTACTACATGTGGCCAGAAATGACATTTTAAAGCCAGCTATTACCTATGCAGATATATGATGCTCTCCGGTTGTTTTATTTAAAAATAGGAATGCCTTAGGTTTATTGTCTCATTTTGTTTTATCAAAGAGTTTAAATGCAGTTGTGAATATTTCTGTTTACCCTCATAATAGCCTGAGAATTTACAATGAATATAATTATTGCCATTTTCACAAGTAGAATTAGAATAAGATAAAACAGTGGAATACAGGTGTAGCTAAGTGTAGTAGAGGTAAGCCATCTATAGAGTATTAAAATTTTTTCCATGTGCGTTGTTAGAAATCTATAAAACCAAAATTTTTTCGTGCCTGTAATCCCAGCACTTTGGGAGGCCAAGGCGGGCAGCTTAGCTAAGGTCAGGAGTTCGAGACTAGCCTGGCCAACATGGTGAAACCCCGTCTCTACTAAAAGTACAAAAATTAGCCGGGTGTGCTGGTGGGCGCCTGTAATCCCAGCTACTTAGGAGGCTGAGGCAGGAGAATTGCTTGAACATGGGAAGTGGAGATCGCAGTGAGACG